ACACACACACACACACTGATAATGATTAAGCTCCTACATCAGTGAAGTGTCCATATGTAGCTCTGAAAGAAAAATCAGATCCACAGGAATATTTTCTTGTTTCCATGCCTTATTTAGGTCAATCTTTTAATCTGTTTTTCTTCTTGATTATCTGTGGCAAACAAGCTAGTTAAAATTGGACTATATAGAAAGTTAAACTCAGATCTTTATCATCTCCCTTTGGAAGTGTGTTGCACATATAGAGAATTAAAATTAACCTTTTTGCACATGTAAATAATTAACTACTAATAACTACTAGAGGAATGACAGTGGAAGCCTTATGTGCATGGATGAAGTGAAAGATGCATTCACATGGGAAATGTGTTGTGTGGGAACTGCAACCTGTCTGTTCCTCTGGTCAATAAAATTCACACCTTCTCTTTACACACTGGTAAGGTAACATGCTCGTTTCTAGGTCTGAAAATAGAGCGAAAAGATACCTGTTTGCTGTTACTTGGTAATGTCATTATTTGTGTTGAGGTTAATGAGCTTTATGTTAAAGTCAGTCCACATCAATTCAGTGTTTTCACAAAAATTTGAAAGGCCTGCTTTTCTCTGCCAAGCCATTAGATTCCCTCTACAGACCAGTAAAATCTATTTTTTAGTTAAAAAAACCCAAAAAATCAATTAATTAATTTGAGCTTGGGAGCTTCTGTGACACTCTTTTTTTTTTTTTTTTTTAAACAAACGTGAGTCAGCCTGTTTGTTGTTACTGAGGAAATTGTTGATGCCGCCTCCCATCTGAATAAACACCAGAGTCAGTGTAACTCATGCGTAATGTAAAGTCGCCGTCATTCCAACTTTTCTGCATTGTTGGCTTTACTAAAGTCTGTTTCCCCCTTCAGTTGTTCCAACTGACCTGTAGACAAAGATAAAAAGTATAAAAATATAGATTCCTTGTCAAAACAGAATCTAAACGAAATGTAGTTATCAATACACATAAAACATCTCTCTTATTTATCCATGTCATGTTGGATTATTGTTTAATTACTGCTTTCTTTTATTTTAACATTATGTTTCCTCTGCAAGTTGTGTAAAACACTAGCAGTCTTATTGGAGAATGTATCTGCCTGTCAAACATTTTTAATTCAGACTGCAGCTCTGTAAAGTTTAGTTTTTATTATGTTTGATGTGTAACAGATAATTGCTTGTGCATTGTTCAAGTCAGAAATTCTTGTAAATGACTGGAGACACTAGCCAAAAGTCCGGTTTTATGTCTCTTTAGTAAATGCTTGCTGAGGACTGAGTATTAAATGAATAATTAATATGCATTACACTGACAATGTATTTTATTTCCCAGCTAATTAAAGCAGAGGTCTACCTGTGTATCTTGAAGGTTCTTAATCTCATCTAGCTTTCTGTAAAACTCACCTTTTGTTTTTTGCATCACTGCCTTTTGTGTGTGTGTGTGTGTGTGTGTGTCTCTTGCTTTATGTCTTTGCCATGCGTTTCTCCCCCATTAGTTAGTAATCGATCCTACAGACGAGGCTTTCTCCCTCTAATGAAATGGCATTTATCCACCTCTTCCCTGACCTTTCCCACTCTGGATGTCCAATTAAGATTGCCTGGTGACGTTGATTAGGAATCTTATTGGTCAGAGTTGTTAGGAGACACAGTAACACTAATTACTGTTGTAGTGGTGGTTCCTATTTAATTTCCTTTTTTGTTTTCTGATTTTAAGGAGAAGAGGTCAACAGGATGGCATCATCAGAAAAAAATAACATAATAATTAATTAAAAAATCATAAAAAATTATTAATTGTGGTTTTTGAATTTATATTAGCCGAGTTTTCTCAGTTGGTCCAGAGATTCAAGCCAGCAAACCTCTTTTGTTTCTTTAACCTCTGGACTAGACTGGGCCCCCAAGAATTCTTTAAAGTTTCACTCGGTAATGAATACTTTAATATCACATACATGGTTCATCTTAAAGCAGGATCAGAATTTGTCCCGAGAACAGCAAGAACAGAATATACAAATTTAGTATATCACTCTTAACAAAAGAGCTATTATCATAATTATCTTGTTTATTGCAAAGAAACGAAAAACGTTTTTGTAAAATGTCCATGTTTATTTCCCGCTGTCATATCTCTTAAAATCACATCTTGTGTTTTTCCATTGTCACCTTTTCTGTCCTTTTTCTTTTGTTTTATTTCAGTGAGGAAATGCCTTCAGGCTATTCGTTTCATCCTGCCCAAAGAAGCTGCCATGAAGGTTTGTGAAATGTTTGTGTGAACAAACCTATTATTATGTATTAGTCAATAAGTACATGCCAGCATAGTTATTTTCTAAGTACCTGTACATATGGAATATGTAACTATATGCATATTTACCATTACACTAAGCCTGGATCACTATTTTGGTTGATTGTCAGTGTTTTATTTAAAATGACTTCAATCTAAATGGATTTGAAACATTTTCCTTTTAAAAAAGGAAGAAAATAGTTTTGTGACTCTGCTGACATCGCATTTCAACTTGCCTAATTTAATAAATCCCATAAAAAATGGTTCATATGTTATTATGCAGGTTTTGGTAAAATGGTATAACATCTACAATGCCCCCGGTGGTCCCAGTGCTCATGCAGAGTGGAACCTGTTTGTCACCTGTTTCATGACACTGATGGGCTACAACACAGAGCGCCTGACCTGGACACGAAATGTGAGTCAACTGTAGAGGTTTTTTCCATTCTAAACCTACAAAAGCTTATTCTGACTTTGATCTCTAATTCTTGTGTCCTGACCTTGCTCTGTGTCCTCCTCCGTCTTTCCACAGCTGCATTTTGAAGTGCCTCTCTCTCCAGTGATTGCAGCCAAGAAGGCTCGTCCCTCTGACGGAGGCTCTGATGAGGTGTGTGACTAATATATTATCTGTGTTGATGTCTGTGGCATATGTCTGTGACATATACTTTAAAATAACTGGTAGACCTGTAACCTCTGAAGGACATTACATTTTTGTCCAATTTCAAGTTTATTTATAGAGCACATTTCAGAACACAGCAGAAGTATTGTATTGTGGTAAATGCAAAATAACAATAAAATACAGTATTTAGTAAACAATAAAACATAGCAAAAGTGGCACAATACTGATACAACAAAAACAATGACAGTGAAATAAATTAAATAAGATAAGAGGGCAAAATTTAGGTGGACACAAATGCTAAAGAATAAAACTAGGTTTCTATTTTAATTGTAAATTAGCTTATGGAAGGGGCTGATCTAAGAGCGAGTGCTAGATTGAGGTTCAGTGGAAGCAAGTAGCTGGAGAAGAGGATGGGACCGAAGATAGAACCTTGTGGGACTCCACAGGAGCGATTGGCAGTTTCAGAATCAGATGACGATATTTTCCTTTAAATTTACGTGCAAAACAAAAAAACATTCAGGAAATGCTCTTCCCTTCCTCATTCTTTATTATCTCAACTATATTATATCTACATGCTCCTAAATATCCAGTGTGTAACATTTAGAAGGATCTATTAGCAGAAATGGAATATAATATTCATAGGTATATTTTAATTAGTGTATAATTATCTGAATATAGGAATAGTTGTGTTTTCGTTACCTTACAATGAGCTGTTTTTAACTCCAGATGCTCCGGGTCGCCTTCCATGTAGTCCGTCACGGTGAACTGCCATGTTTCTGCAGTACAGACAGAACCAGGACAGATTCTCAGCTTCCTCACTCCTCATATCCTAAACGATTTGGAAGGTTGGGGAAAACATTCAGTTCCCCACTCAGATGGGCAAAAACACAACCAATTTTGAAATCCCAACCCAATCCCAAATGTAAAAAATATCAACTATGTGTGATGTTGATGTTTGTTCAGCTTCCTAAAGAAAAATCTGACACTGTAGGACTTAACGAACTCCAGAAGATGGCAGCAACGCCATATAAGGATGCTAGCTGCCGTTAAAGCTCATACAGGAAGTAAAAGAAGAAAAAGCGTAGTCTTGTGACAGGCAGGTGAGGAAGCAGTCGAAATTGTAAGTTTAACGTTTTATACAAAGCATAGGCAGGCTTTCTAGCATTAAGCTCCTTTAGTATGCTAACGTTACTTAGGACGATGACTTACATGTTTCTATGTATTTAACTTATTCTCCGAGACCAAATGGATGAGCTAAAAGAATGATAGTGCAACTTTTGTTGTAAAACAACACTTAACGTTAAATTGTGTTTGGTCTGTAAAGATGTTATGACGATGGATCACATAGGCCTACATATAAGGTTATTACGTATAACTTAACATATAACATGGACTATATTTGTTAAAATGACTCAAGAATTACAGACCTTATTATGCATTTCCACTAGTAGCTTTATGTGCAGCACCTGAATTAGCTATTCAATTATTTCACACATGTGAATGGGATTGCTCTGGCTATTTGCTATGATGCTTTGTGTGCTTAGTCCTTTGGGTGGGCAGTATCCAACATTTTGCCGAGATGTCTGGTCTGGGCTTGGAAAAGAGATGGCTACCTGCTCAGCTGCTGCTCCTGTGGATGCTGACCAACATCTCTGGTGACTGACTGTTTATGCCTATTTATATTGAATCCACTGGCTTTACTGTAAACATTTCAATGAGGCTATTTCGTTGACAGATATGCCTTCATAGATTCCCAGCTGGAGCCAAAAAAAAACAACCCAGCAGGCTTTTCTTGGGAACCAATGTGGTTGGTCATAGTCTACAGGTCGTTGTTGTGCAGCGCCCTCTGTTGATAATGCATCCAATTACCATGATTCCACTCAAAGCTGGTGAAAACACTTTCGGGTTTGCTTAATAGCACCAAGGTTCCAAGAGTCTTGAATGGAACTGGTTCAAGGGTGGGTCTTCAAAAAAGGTTGAACATGATTATATTTTGACTTGGAAGATGTTCAAGATGTACAGATTCTGAAGTGTTCAGTGACCATTAAAGCAGTAACCTGATAATTATGACATGGGTAAATTTGTAAATAAATATACTTTATAATAATGCGAATACTACCTTTTAAAGCCAAACTATGTACTCTTTGCTATTTCTCTGTCTGTCCTCTAGAGTCCAGAGTGTTTTTTTCTGCTCCTGATGCTGTTACACTTGAGGAATACTCTAAAGCCAACATCACCATTACTTCAAGGTAACCACAGAAACACTTTTAAGAAACATTGTTGAGTGTTCAATGAATGGAGCTCAAACTT